CAAATGGATGAAAATGAAATAGAAGCAGTAAATGGATAAAGGCAGGTTCATCTGCCTTGCAAATCTGGAGCTGTGAAGGCCAGCTGTGCAACCGAAGTGCCTATCCTTTGTCCTAGGCTGATCCTGCAGCTTTCCTGGCCGTTCTGAGAACTAACAGGATTCCCATCCATGCCTATTCTGTTTCAGTCAGCCAGTCAATTTCATTTGCTTAAAGCCCAGAAAGCAGAATGGTACAGCAGACAGAGGGTTCATGAGCTCCTTGAACTCTGTACAGAAAACTTAACACTCACATGTGCATACACTTTCACGCACACACCTGCACGTGCGTGCACAAAGTGTCATGTGGGAAGAAGTTCCATTGTTTATGTCAAAGGAATTCATGCTCTGACTTGGGCATATACGTGTCAGGGAGGACGAAACAGATCCTCCCCAGATGCAAGTACGGTACAGTTGAACTTCTCTGCCATCTCTGAAAACAGCATTTGTGGAAATGTTGAGGATTTAATTTCAGACTGCACCAGAATTAATATACTGGTTCAAACCAGGAGAGGTAGAGACAGCGTAACGAGGGGCAAGAGAAAGGAGGTAGGACTTGAGAAAAGGCGAAGATAACTCCTCGTTGGGAGAAGAGGAGGACCTCAGTGCCTTCAAGAGGAGTCAAAGAATAGTGTCCACATCTGTAGTTGAAACAGAGGAACAAGGAACCGATTAACACGGGTCAGACAGATGACTGTGGGTGAAACACTGTGGCCCTGTTAAGAGGCTATACCTGTAAACTGGCCAGGGTTGGCATTTTCAAGAACCAGGCTAAGAAAATCAGCTGAGGAGAGAAGGTAAAAGTGGTTAGAATGAATCATTAACTATTAGGTTAACCCAAGTTGAACTTGGTGATGAAAGAGTCACGGACAGTTGAAATAGTCACACGCAGACTGGGCTGTGAGCACGAAATCTACATCTTAATTGTTTGGGCTCAAAATGAGGCTACTTCCAAGTGACCAAGGTCAGTATCGGCTGCGATAATTCAGGTTGATAGTACAGAGCCTTGATACGATGTGATGAAAATGCGCTTTACCTTTGTGGTCTTAACCCCAGCCTAATCATGAGGAAAACATTAGACGAATCTCAGCTGAGTAAGACATTCTACAAAACATCTGACCCTACTCCAAGGTCTGCCAAGGTCATCACAAACTGCCAAGGTCATCACAAACACGGAACTGCCAAGGTCATCACAAACACGGAAAGTCTGAGAAACTGTCACAACCCAGACGAGCCTGAGGAGACATGATAACTAAATGTAACATGGTGTTCTGGACGGGATCCTACCACAGAGAAAGGGCATTAGGGGCACCTGGGTGGCTCAGTCCTTAAGCGTCTGCCTTTAGCTCAGGTCATGATCCCAGGGTCCTAGGATTGAGCCCGCATCAGGCTCCCTATATGGTGGGAAGCCTGCTTCTCCCTCTCTGAATCCCCCTACTTCTGTTCCCTCTCTTGCTGTGTCTCTGTCAAATAAATTAATAAAATCTTTTAAAAAATTAAGAAAAAAAGAAAAAGTACATTAGGCAGAAATTCAGAAAATCTGAATAAAGTATGGACTTTAGTTAATAATAATGTATCAATATTGTTTTATTAATAGTAACACATATATCATACTAATATATTAAAAAGAGGAGAAACTGGGTTTGGGGTATAAAGGAATTCACTATACTATTTTTCAATTTTCCTATAAATCTAAAACAGTTGTAAAAATACAAAGTTTATTTTTTAAAATGCAGTGTTAATTCACTTACTAACCTTGAGTAAATTACTTAGCCTTTCTGTTCCTCATTGGCTCATCTATAAAATTAGAACAAGAACAGTGGCTATCTCAGAAATTTGTTGTGTAGACTAAATGAATTCATACTAAAGTGCTTAAAACAGATACTAAGCACCCAGCTAGTGTTAGCTGTTACCATTTTTGAATATTTATAAAGTATAGTAATATTTTACACATATTGACTAAAATGTGACATACAAATCTGACATATAAAATATTAAACTCTAAATTTGTGAACAAAACTTGAAATAATGAAATTTCCCTCAATAGGTCAAGAATGGGCGCCTGGGTGGCTCAGTGGGTTAAAGCCTCTGCCTTCGGCTCAGGTCATAATCTCAGGGTCCTGGGATCTAGTCCCACATGGGGCTCTCCGCTCAGCGGGAAGCCTGCTTCCCCCCCTCTCTCTGCCTGCCTCTCTGCCTACCTGTGATCTCTGTCTGTCAAATAAATAAACTCTTTAAAAAAAAAAAACAAAAAGAATTATATAATTTCAAATTTCAAAGTTGCCAAGTCTAGTGAAATGTAAACTGTGTTCATACCATCTATGGTCACATGGTGGGTCATAATGGAAACTCCTCTGGCCTTCATAAGAATTCATCCTGAATGGGGCACCTGGGTGGCTCACTCGTCAAGCGTCTGCCTTCTGCGGCTTGGGTCATGATCCCAGGGTCCTGAGATCAAGCCCCGCATCGGGCTCTCTGCTCAGTGGGAAGCCTGCTTCTCCCTCTCCCACTCCCCCTGCTTGTGTTCCCTCTCTTGCTGTGTCTCTGTCAAATAAATAAAATCTTAAAAAAAAAGAATTCATCCTGAATTATGGTCTTAGTAACTACTGCACACTGGCAACCCTCACTTAGGGCCCAAAATTCCTCACAGTGTGAAAAATAAGGGTTGTATTTCAACATCAAGGTAATGACTTAGATGATTCCCATCAAGAAAATGCTGGCTAGGCTACAGACCTAAGATCAAAGTTAAAATAGGAAAACTTTTATTAAAGATTTTATTTATTTAGGGAGAGCATGAGCAGGGTGGGGCAGAAGGAGGAGAGAGAGAATCCCAAGCAGACTTCATGCTCATTATAGAACCCAATGTGGGGCTCGATCTCCCAACCCTGAGATCATGACCTGAGCTGAAGGCAGAGGCTTTAACCCACCGAGCCACCCAGGCGCACCATGATGAACACTTTTTTTTTTAAATTTTTTATTTTTTTAAAAGATTTTATTTATTTATTTGACAGACAGAGATCACAAGTAGGCAGAGAGGCAGGCAGAGAGAGAGGAGGTAGCAGGCTCCCTGCAGAGCAGAGAGGCTGATGTGGGCTCTATCTCAGGCTTCTGGGACCACGACCTGAGCTGAAGGCAGAGGCTTTAACCCACTGAGCCACCCAGGAGCCCCTGATGAACACTTTAAAATCACTTAGATGCACGGCAAGAGAAATTAGCAGAAGTCCATGGGCTGAAGCTGACATGTCTTCTAGTTAGAATGCAACTAATCAAACATGTAAGCAACATACGATGCCTTTAACTTCTGTCTGAAATTGTGCAGACCCACTGTGGGTGCTAGGATTTTGTGCAGGTAAAACCACTCCGCTGTTTTCCCTTTTTTCTAATAATTCAAAATTTCAGTCTAAGTTCTGAGATCTACCTATGTTAACTATTATGAGTGCTTACACAAGAAATTCTCCATATATCAGGTATATTTCTGTTATCTTAAATATTTTTAAGATACCAATCTATAACATACTCAATTGTTTACTGTATTTTATCTTTTGTAAATATTATGTAAGAAAAAGAAAAAAACTTGTTCCCAAGTCATATACAAAAATTTGATGAATATCAGTGTGGCTTCTTTTGATGTTAACAGTGACAGCTTCTGATTTGTTTACAATAGAAGGGCCACCACCTAAGGAGACTGCTCACTTAATCAAAAAGCTAGGGGCAGGGGTGCCTGGGTGGCTCAGTGGGTTGAGCCTCTGCCTTCGGCTGTGGTCATGATCCTGGAGTCCTGGGATAGAGCCCCGCATAGGGCTCTCCACTCAGCAGGGAGACTGCTTCCCCCCCTCTCTCTGCCTGCCTCTCTGCCTCCTTGTGATCTCTCTCTGTCAAATAAATAAATAAAGTCTTTAAGAAAAAAAAAGCTAGGGGCAAATAAATGTATCCTTATGACAAAGATCAAATATTCAGCTGAAGGAAGATGTGAGAATCAGATATATTTAATCTAGGAAAAAACAGAGGAGTAGAAGGGTACACACAAATGACATTTCTAAATCTAGAATGGTTGTTTTTGCTTTTTTGCAATAAGATGTTAGGATAGAAATTTCAAACCTTTGCAAATAGTAAGTTGCCTTGACACATTTTCCCTTTTCTATCTAAAAATCAGAGACTTTTTAAAAGTCCATTTCATTTTTGAAATATTATTTTAGGAATAGTTTGGTCATTGCAGATGTAAACTATTTATTCCCATCTTATTATTTACTTTCTCAAGCTTTTTGATTAGCATTTTTAAAACAACTACATTTAGATTTTTTAAAAAAGATCATTGTTTTACTTTTATATCTCCTATAAGTAAGAATGTCAATTTTATGTTCTTGAAGTACACATACAGCAATCTCTCGCTTAAAAAAGAAAAGGACAGTCTTTTTCTTTCATAATAATTATCCCACTAAGATGATATTTTGATATGTATACTAAAGAATACATTAACTTGATTTCAATAATCATTAGCTATGCATATTACCTTTGCCATAGGAAGTAAATTATAGCAACCAATGTGTGTATAACATTTCCAACTTTATAATTGTATATAGATTTTATACTCACATATGTCTGATCTCTCCAAGTAGTAGATACATGTTAAGATTTTTATAACTTATGATGATAAATGAATGTTTTTTTTTTCTGATTTTGTTATAAGTCTTGATATATTGCGTTGATTTTCAAATGGGAAGATGATTACTTTTTGGATTTCCATAAAAATGATAAACCCTGACCCTTTTACTGTATACATTATTATTTTCTATGGCAACAAGTCTCCAAAGAAAATACAAAGCAATGAAACATATAAAATATTAAACATATTTTATGTTTACTCAACTGATCTCCATATTAAAATTATTTGTGGTTCTTATTCACTTAATGCCAAGTCACAAACTAATTTAAAATCTTTAAAATTAAATACACTAGTTAGTTACCTATGTAAAGATATGCCCCTCTCTCCGTTATACAAATGATTATAGACGACTGGTCTATATTTATTATTATTCCAACACCATAGTTCAGAATTCCATGTTCTGAAGGTTAGAAAAGGAGAAGGCAATAAATATCCCCAAGTAAGAGATACTTGAATCTATGAACTCATTTTGTCTTCATCTCTTATGATGCCTATAATTAAGAACCGACATACAAATTACAAGTGTTATCAAAACCTGCCAAGAAATTTTTTAACCCACTGAGCCACCCAGGCGCCCCCTGAAAACCTGCCAAGAAATTTTTTAAAAAGAATCCAGTCATCAAATTGGACAAACAATAGCCTTTAAATATTGAGAAATATCTTTGTGTGAAGATGAACCAGAAAGATGATTTTCATGCTGTGACTTGTTACATAATATGCTATAGTAGTTTTAAACTGATTGAGAAGAAAATTCCTTTCAAAGATAAAGCCGGGTTCCAAGGGGGAAGATGGATAAAGTCATTGAGAAATCAACCAATTTTTTCTTTATGTTCTCTCCTCAAACTCACTCTCCCTTCTTCTCTCCCTGCTTTTAGCAGCTGACCACATCTAGCCCCTCTGGGTTCCCAGATATTCTGAAGGAATGTCCTTCACTTCCCTAAATAGCACAATTTTCAGTGAAGTGAAGGTAACAGGAATGAGTGACTGTCATCTCAGAAAGAGACATGCTACTGTATTTCCTGTGTCAGTCTGGAGGGCTGCAACACACAGGACAAAGAGAGATAACCGTAAGAAAAAATACTATTTTAAGTACAGTGGTGTTAAAAAAAAAAAAAATGAGTGACAACTACAACGTGCATCTCCTTGTAAAACCTTTCATTTTCATTAAAATTAAAAATGACTCCATAATCTGTGGCAAAGTAAAATGTCATCTCTTCTATAGTTTTGCTATGACTCCAGAAGGTAAATGAATGAAGCAAACTGCACAATGATGCATAAAATTGCTACTATATCTTGTTTTCGAGGCAGAGCCACATCTATATATGGAACACAAGATATTTCAGAATGATTGCAACTTGCTGTCTTCATAATTTTATAGAATTAAAATTAATATTAGAACATTTTAGTAAAACCCTAGCAAAAGTACCATATATGCATACCCAGATGTTATATGTGGGTATGTATGTAGAGGTCTACATATATATACACACACATACATATATACTGAATTATTAACACTATAGAGCATATGCCCCCACACCCCATTTCTATCAGTAAGAAAATAATCAACCTGCACGAACTGGAATCAGATTCATTTTCTTCTTCACTAGTGCCATCATCCACTTCTGGTCTATCCAGCCAATGGGCACCGCCACAATCTTCTGCTGTGAACTCAAACGCAGGGACTTCAGAGGTGGATGCCATTGGCCAAGAAGGTGAATTCTGAAAATCCAGTTGGCTGGACCTTCGGTAACCAATTGAAGCCAAAGGCAACTGGAGGCTACATGGATCTAAAAACTTTCTCCCACCGTTTGCGCCAGTCTGTCCTCGATTCCAAAATTCTCCCTGCTGGCTGTCAACTGTAGAATGAGATGATGCTTGATGGCTAAACCACCTCCATCTGATTTTCAAAATCTGCTTCACATCAAACTCTTTACGAGAACCAGACATCCTCAGAGAAACCAAGTGATCGTCTAGGCAACGGGCAGAAAGCACTGCACCCGGATTTTGTGCATCCGACCAAGACAAGAGAAGTCTATGCCCTCCTGTACACAACAAATAGATCGAAAGGCAATAAATCACATTCACATATATATCTGCATTAACTTTTATACCGAGAGAGCAGATGATAAAGAACAAAGGAGAATGAATAGCGATGCAACACAGTGGAACATTCCGTTCAATCAGAGCAAACTCTCATCCACCTATCCTGAAGCAGCTCAACCACTTTCCCCCCTCTCTTTTCCCATACTGACCATTAGCTCTCACAAACACTGACAGCATTCATTAAAGTCCTTTCAAATGCAGAACACCACCCTCTTTTCTTAAACCACAAATGACAGAAACAGAAAGCACTATCCCCTGGCAATATCTCAGTCTGGGGCTGCTTAGTGGATTAACTCTTCCATTGCTGAAACCAGGAATTTATTCCAGAACATTTTCCTTTATACATAAAAATCACTGGGAAACGAAAATGTTTCTGGTTTCAGACTAAATTCCCAGAGGAGATATCACAAAATCATCATTTTTTTTTAAAGCATGTTTTCGTCAGATGAGTTACAGTGACTTTCAAGCTGTGCTCTGTAGATGGCAGGAGGAGAGGGAGGGAGACAAAGGTGGGGCTCCTGTTCGTTGCTCTCCGCTTCTATCTTCTTCCTTCAGGAAAGGAATGTATTTAATTAATACAGTAAGATCTGGGGTAAGATTTCATTTGGGCAAAGATTAGAAAGAAAAAGTCTGAAAACTACAAAGGATCAAAATACGACAGTACTTACTCTTTTCTCAAAGAAATAACTGGAAGCCAGTATTGCTTTATAGTTAGGATTGAGCTGCTTTGATTTAGTATAATTTCTGAATTTGTATGACATGGTTTAGAAAGAGGAAAGTGTGGCTCAAGAAAGCTACCAAGGACTGGGACGGGATTATTTCTTGGGTGTACAAGTATTTTCATGGTGCCCTCTATTGTTAGCAAAACAAAACAAAGGTCTGCACATAGTTACAGTTAAGGCAAATTGATAAAGCGAGTTAAAAAAAATCAATCAAAATTTAAAATACTGAGTAGTCACTGTGAGCCAGACACCCAGGTAGGCCTCGAGGGAGACACAGTCACATAACATCTCGGTTCCTACCTTCAAAAAGAATTGAATCGAGTTACTGAAACAAAAAGTACTTGGTAATTTAAGTAGAAGACACATTATAAAGTTGCAATATTAATATACTGTGATCTACAAATACCGAATTGAAGTTTTCAGGGTGTTCAATGTCTAATGCTGTTTTGCTCGAAAGACAGTGCCTATTCATCAACGGACCAAAAGAAGGCTACTTTGGAGGCTTATAAAAATATTGAGAAGCATAGATCTTAAGTTCACACAGCTCTTCAGAAGAATAAAAATTACTCAGAGAAAAAAGAAGAAGAGGCATGAAAAACCATCTAAAATTTTGTGGCCAATATCGTAGAACAAACCATAAATACCGTAAGAAAGAGGAAACAGATATGGGGATGGTGTGGGGTGGTATGTACCAGTTTCATTAGAAAGAAGGTCTCTGGTAATAGTAAGCTGTATAGAAAGAATGAGGATATTTTATAAAGGAAAAAAGATATTAATAAAAGCATGAAGTGAGCATATTGACAAAGAAAGTTGTGTGGGGAGGGGGATAACAGTCTGATCAGCCAGCCAGACATACCTAATTAATTTTAAGGAGTAGTAAGACATAAACTGGAATGAATATGATAAGATAAAATGCCTTGGGCATAAAGCAAAGGTGTAAAGACTCACAGGCAATATTAAGTGGACCGTTGAACAGGGCAATGTTTTAGAAAATTAATTTGGCAGCGGTCTGCAGGAGCCATTCAAGAGGAAAATGACATTCTCCCTGTCTGCTCACCTCTGTCACACTCCTTCCTATCAACAGTTCCAACTCCACTCTATCCAACTTTGTTTCTATTTTCCAACAAGGACCTGCCGCTTCATCAGTTGGGATAGAGTCTACATTATGTTATTCCAGCTTTTATATGCTATTTGTGTCCCAAGGTCTCTGGGTTTAAGATCTTACTGATCCTTCAAGGTCAGCATAGGTACCTCTGCCCGCAGAGAGGCGCTTCCCATTCCTCTAGCCTTGTGATTCTCAATAGGGGTAGAGCCTCTGCTCCTGCCCCCCAAAATGGCTTCTGGAAGTCACGAGGGGGTGGGGGGAGGAATGAACTTGTAGTTGCTGGATGACCAGAGAGTGCCACAGGCATTGAGTGGGTGGAGCCCAGAAATGACAAATGTCTTACAGTGCATGGTAAGGACCCACTTCATGGAGAGATGTCCCTGTGGTAATTCATCAGGATCTTGTCATCATCGTCATTCAATTTTACATAAAGGATTCTTTATGTAAAATTTACATAAAGGATTCTTTCACCAGTGTTTGGAAATTCATCTGTGCTGTTGTCTGTAGCAGCTGACAGTTGGTTTTTATGGCTATATGGTATTCCACTATATAAATATACAACCATCAAAGTATATTCTTTTGCTCACTTCAGTTGTTTCTTGTTTTAGAATTTTGCAAGTAACGCTTCTGAGAACGCTCTTGTCTGTATTATCGGATGCACATGTATATGCATTCTTATTGTGTACGTATGTATATATGTGTATATATGTGTGTGTGTGTATATATGTATATACATATATGTATATATGAAACAAAACTGCTAGATTATAAGGTATGCATATATTCAACTTTGGCTGTTCTCACTGATTAATACTCCTACAACTGTATGAGAATTCCAGGTACTCCATACGCAGCCAATACCAGTACTATCAGTCTTAAATTTTAGTCTCGCTGATACAGGTGCGCAGTGGAATCCCATTTGATTTTTTACTTTACATTTCTCTGGTTATTAACATTGTTGGGTAACTTTTCATGTTTACTGGGCATCTGGATATCTTGGTGAAAGGGTCTTTGCTTAGTTTTCTTCATTTTTTTTTCTATTAAGTTATCTACATCTTTTTGACTTGTTAGAGCCCTTTTTATTTCTAATAGGAGTCCTCTATTAATACAATTTTAATGTAAACCACCCTTTTCCCACTGTATTGAGGTATTGTTTTTGGTATTAAGTAGCATCTCATATATTCAGAGATCAATTCTGGGTACCAATTCTATTTGTCTACTGTTCTACTATTTGTCTTTTTAAGCCAATAGTACAGTATTTTAATTATAATCTATCATAAATTGTTTAATATTTGTTTAAGCAGGTTCCTATCTCCATATATATCCTTTTTTAACAGCTGGAGCACCTGGGGGTTCAGTCAGTTAAGCTTCTGACTTGATTTCAGCTTAGGTCATGATCTCAGGGTTCTCGGATTGAGCCCCATGTCAGCTCTGTGCTCAGCAGGGAGTCTACTTGGGATTTTCTCTTTCCCTCTCCCTCTGCCCCTCCCCACCTAAAATAAATAAGTAAATCTTAAAAAAAAATAAATACTTTTTAAAGTTAATTTTAGATATTAACCTTTGTATACACTTTAAAGTAGTATTACCCAATCCTCTCCTCAACAAAAAGTCCCGACCCTATTGAGATTCTAATTGGAATTGCCTTAAATCTACATATGAATTGAAATGATTGGCATTTTATGATATTAAGGCTTCACATCTAAGTATATAGGTTGTTTAGTTCATTCAGCTCTCATGCTCACCAATAAAATTTTAAAATCTTTTGACTATAGGTTCGGTGCTTTTCTTACTAAATTTTTTTTATCAAGTTCTGTTCCTTTCTTTTTTTTTGTCACTGTAGTAAATAAAGTAATTTTTTTCTAGTTTCATTTCCCCATGGTTATTTCTATTATAATGAAAGCGTTGAGTACATTTATCTTGTATCCAGTCATTTTATTATACTTCCTCATTAGTTACAGTTTTTGCATTGGTGCTCATTTCTCATTATATTAAGTTATAGGTACCTTTGAGACGCCTAAGTGGAGGTGTCAGATAGCTGGGATAAATGTTCCTGGAACTCAGATCCAAGCTCCAAAAAACTCTAACAGAAGTCTAATGGTGGAGAAGCCGCCAAAGGAGACTGGAAAGAAATAACCAATGAAGTAGAGGAAAATCCTCAAGGTCTGGTGTCAGGCAAGTCAAAGGATAAAGGTGTTTCATGGCCGAAGGCATGGCCACAATGTCAAATAAGAGGGTGACTACCACCTACAAGGAAAAATGTCCACAGGAATTGTCAACATAAAGATTTTGCCAAATGAGATAGGAGCTGTTTCAGTAAAGGGGTGGGGACAAACCCAGCCTGAGGTGGGTTTAAGAGTTAATGGAGTATGAGAGGAGTAAGGAAGGACATGATCAGAACTTGTTCAGAAAATCTGAACAGAGAGGCTGGATGGGATTATAGATGGAAGAGGTGAGGGACCAAGGCAATGGATTTGCTTACTATTTGTTGATTTTTTTAAAAATATGGAACACACCAGAATGATGAGAATCATCCAGCTGGAAGATGAGATTGATGACTACAGGAAAGCATTGAAGCAAAAAACAGTGAAGACTTTGATAAAAGGGAAGAAATGGCACCTGGGTGCAGTGGATGGCTTTGATAGTCATAGGAGGCAGGATGCTTCTTCTGTTCTAAGATTTACAACTTTCTAAATGCATTGATTATTTAAAAGGAAAGGCATACATTAAGCAGTCTACTCCAGAAGAAAATCAAATCAGCCCTCTAAAAGGAGTCATGAAATAATAAAGATCAGAGGAGAAACTAAAGCACTAAGAAATAAAATGACAGAATTAATAAAGATCCAGCTCTTGAAAAATTTGCCAGTGTATTCTCTTACCTTCTAGTAAATACAATCAAAGGAAAAATAAATTAGAACTTAGAGGATAAAATAACAGTTATAATAAAATAGAATATTTAAATAAAATAATTAAAAAATAAAAGACTGGGGCGCCTGGGTGGCTCGGTGGGTTAAGCCTCTGCCTTCGGCTCAGGTCATGATCCTAGGGTCCCAGGATCAAGCCCCACATCGGGCTCTCTGCTCAGCAGGGAGCC